GGGAGGAGAGCAGCTTTTCACGCGAGCCTGGGAGAAAGGGCTGTGCTGGGAGCTCGCAGCAAAGCTACCAGATGGAGCAACTAGGAAATTCTTGCATAAGGAAGTAACAGCAGGAAATCTGTTCCCTTTTTCTGGGAATAGCTTTGCTCAGGTCAGGGAAGAAGAGACAAAAAGTTAAATAAAATAACACAGGGGCTTGGAGACACTTGGTTAAGCACTGTGTTATTCCTCTATGCTTTTCCCTGTGGTGCCATGTAACAGCAAGAAAGCCCCAAGACAAGAGCAGGTGAATCGGGCAGTGAAGGCATTTCTCCGAATCGCTGTAGCCTGGGGTGCCCAGCTGCTGTACGCAGCGCTGCTGGGGAAGAAATTTCTTCCCATCTGGAAGAAATCAGAAGGGAAAATATTTGCATTAAAAATAAAAGGATAAAAATAGCAAGACAAAGAAAGAGGAAGCTTCGTCTTTTGCATAACAAGTACAACTCATGTCCCGACCACTTGTGCTCTTTAAAGAGCGTGGCATTTGCAGGAGCCGTGTGATGGTAGCCCTGGGGGCTGCTCAACAGCTGGCAAGGTCACCACGGGAGGGGCTTCATCCCAGCAGCAAGTGAAGTGACTCCACAAACTTGTAGTTCAGCTGGAGGGAGAGAACCATCTCTCCCCACATGGCTGTTCCAGGTCTTGTGAAGTGCCACCGATTTCTGTGCCATTCGTCCTCTTTAGTAGGACCATAAGGGAGCAAAGAATCAGGGCCCCCATCTCTGTCATCCCTGCAAAATGATGTTGCAGTATTTCCAAACAGCAGTGAGCAATGCACAACCCACTAGAAAAGCCAAAGATGGGGCTAATCATGAGGTTGCCTGCTGAGCACTGATTTTCTCCTCTTTGTTTCCAGAGCTAAATTCAGTTAGGGGGCTCCCTGTGAGGACATGGAGGAGAATCTGATTGTCCCTGTGGGGGTAAAACCAGATGGACTCCTCATAGCATCTCCTGTCCCAGGGACTGCCCAGCTTGGGGACTGAATTTAGGTGCTTAAGTTAGGACAACGTAATTGTTAGGACAATTAGATTCTCTGTAGTCAAGTGTCTCCTGCTTAGAGCCAACTAGTGGAACAGCCTGCCTTCCAGGATAAGGTGAGCTTATTAATTGAGGTATCTATGTTTATATTGGTTTGGAACAAGCAAGTCTGGTTGTGGAGTCATGCTCAGTGTTAATAATTATTTGGGAAGAGATTATTTTTAAGTATTTAAGGAAAAAAGGAATCCTTTGCATCCATTACTACATGGAAATAGCATATGTATAAAAATAATGCAGAAAAGGCAGAAATATAGGATAACTTTTTCTTCGGTTCCAGTCTGAGGAAACTGAACATCATTATGGTGAAATTTCAACAGGAAGAGTATATTAAACAGCTGTTCCTAAACATAGACTTTTTAAATATGTATGCGCATGATTTGTCTTCAAGAGTTTTAAAAGAGCTGGCTGAGAGGTTCTCCAAATTCTTAATGTCACTTTTTATTTAGTCTTGAAACTCCAAGGAAGACTGCTAATGCCATGACAAAAATTAAAACAGTAAGTAGGTAATTGCAGCCCTAGTGACCTAATGCAGAGCTCAGCAAAAATACTGGGGAGCTGATACAGCCTGAATAATAAAGAATTTAGGAAGGGAATATAATTAATGTCAGGCAACATAGGCTGATGTAAAAGAATCTTTTCAAACTAGCATTTTTTTTTTTTTTCAGTTAAACCACAACTTTTGTTGACAAAGGTAATAGTTGTTCAGGTAATGTCCTTTAAAGCATCTGACTTCGTACTGCCTGTTTTGGTTAAGAAATCAGAGTGATACAAAATTAACATAGCACATAAGGAAATGGCATATAGGTCTCCAGATACCACTGCAAACAGGCTGTGTGATTGCAACCAAAAGGACAAACACAGTCTGAGATGATGCTGAACAAGAAAAAAAGCTTACTTCACATCCATGTTGGAGGTGTGCAAGACCTATTACTGTGACCAGCTGTGATGTACAGCCTTAAAATCAAATGTTGAAAACTGTCAAGTTCTGAAAAGAGCTTAGAAGGACCGAAGGACTGGAAAATATGCCACACACTGAGACTGATGTATTTAGAGAACGCTGCAGGCATGATCACAGTCTTGAAGCACCTGTGCGGTAAGGAGGAATTGATGATGGACCAACTAATAAAATTAATCACACAAAGTAATATATAATATTTGATGATGAAGTCCAAGTTAGTTAAATTCAGTCTGTTTTCATTGTAAGTATGAAGGATCAGAGCAAGGCAGTGTCCCATGTCCAACAATTGCTACTAGTTACTACCTGTGAAATAGCAAAGCTCCAGGGCTGTATGTTCCTTCTCTGGGAGAGGCTCAGGGAATTCCTGAAATGTGGTGGTACCTTGGTAGCAAGCCCATTCAACAGCTTTTCTCACACTTTGGGAGCCACCCACAGTAGTACGAGAATTTAGCTTGTACTATGCTATGTGGCAAAGGTTTCCTCCGCTGACCCACACATTGTGTGAAGAAACATCTCCTTTCATTTGCCTTGCACCTGACTTCTAGCTGCACTTCTTGCAGGGCTTGTACTAGAAGTGACAGTAGCAAAGGGAATTAAGCTGTGAAGCAGCTGATTGTGTGCAGAGTGGGGTTCTCCACAGTGCCATCTACACTGGTTGTGTTTAGAAAATGTTTGGTCTTCTTAAACCAATCTCTCGGGGATTAATTCAGAGCCTTGCACTGCATAGGCAGTCAGCCTACATTGCATAAATGACTTATTGTGGCCTCAAAATAGAGACTATGTAGCTGCAAATCTGCCGCAGAAGTGAGCTTGTGTCGAGGTTTGGAGGCTGAAAAGAAGAGAAACCTCTCTTCTTGTGATTCATTGGCAGATGTCAGGTACAGGAAAATCCTCCACTGGGCAGAATTAGCCACAAATGGTAGATTCATGCCAACTCAACACTTCTAGTTTTCTGATGTGCAAAAGGTGATGTTCACGTGCAGCAAATGCCTGCACAAGAGGTATCGTGTGGCTCCCTCATGGGCAAGTCAGCTTCTGCAGGGGCCATAGCCCAGCTGGGAACAGAGCTTAGAAGGGGCATGTGGGTGGCACTCGCCAGGCACGGCACTGAGCCATGTCCTTGTGCCTGCTTGGCCGCCACGTGGGAGGATAAGCAGGTCACAGACTGAGCTGAGCTGCCCTCCCAGCACCTGGCTGGGATGGAGGCTCTGCGTGCTGCAAATGTGTGAGGCACAGTCTTGGCTCCTGCTATATCTGGAACAGGCATTTCCAGAAGGGATAGATACCACTGCTGTAGGTATCTAAGAAAGGTGGAAAAGGGGCCTGATGATGGTGCCTATCACTCCCCATTGTCTCTAGAGGGAGCCAGGATGAGCCGTGCCCTGTAAGGAAGAAAAGTTCTGGATCTCTGCCTCTGTTCACTTAGACAGGCTTTGTCCTGTCCAAGGTGTCTAGCACTTCTGTAAAAAAGGGCAGAAAAGTTTTCTCTCCTGCCCTGTGGTTCTGTCTGTCCTTCTTTGCTCCAGTATTCCTCTTACAATGAACACCAGTTTTGGCTTATCTGATGTCCTCTGAAGGATGGAAAGACCACCAATGTCTTAATATAGACCATCCCACCCTTTGGATGATAGGCATCTTTAAGGCCTTGAGCAAGTTCATGCAAGTCCTCTTAAGAGCAAGGTATCTTCTGCAAGAAATTCTGCTGCTAGAAAACTGGATTTTTAACCTGTTGGTATTTGAATGACACCTCGCATTGATGCACTCATGTTTTAACACTTTTGTTTTCTCCTTTCCAGGTGGGTCACCAGCTGTGAGTATGAGCTCCAACAACATGTCCTTATCCAACCCAATTTCAACTCACAGCATCATGCCCCAGAGCTCCAGCCTCATGTCTACCCCCACTGGGACCCGAATGCCTTCTGTTACTGCCACTCGGAGTATGGGCTGCTATGGGAACCTTCCTTGCAACCAACAAAGCGCATACAATGTGACTTCAGGAATGAACCAAATACAGCCACACAGAAACCAAAATCAAGCCCTGCCCAGTCAGAATAACCCCATGATGTCTCGACAGCAAACCATGACACAGGGAAACAATGTAGCAGCTTTTGGGACAGGGTCAGTGGTCAACTCACAGCAAGTAAGGCCAAGCTTGAACCATGGAGCCACAGGTATCCCCGCGCAAAGGCCGGCCAACGTGATGATCACAGCTACTGCCACTGCCCAGAACTGGGTCCCACAAGAAGCTGCAGTGAAGCAGCAGGATGCACTGAAACCCACAGGGGTCCGTTTCCCCGCTGGCACCCCATATCCTAACCAGTCTTTGCAACGCAACGTAGGCAACCAGCATTTTCCTCAGCGTGCATTGGCACCTCCTAATCAGTTAACAGCAGGAGTCCAAATGAGGCCTCCTCTAAACCAAATGCACCAGACTCTAAATGGACAATCTGCTGGCTCACTACGAGGTCTCAGCATAAGACCTAACCAGCTGAGAGGACAGACTGTACCTGCCTTGAATCAGCCAGGAACAAGTATGACACCTCCATCATCTCTGCCATCAACCAGTTTCACATCTACCAACCAAAACTCTCGGGCTTACCAAGGAAGTGACCATGGTAATGACCTAGCGTTTGACTTTCTGAACCAGCAAGGTGACAGTATAGGACCTGCGCTCAACAGTGACTCAGACTTTATAGATTCTTTACTGAAAACAGAACCTGGTAATGATGACTGGATGAAAGACATCAACCTCGATGAAATTTTGGGGAACCACTCCTAAGCGACAGTACCAGGGATGAACCAGATGAAGAGGCAGTAAGGACGTTAGCTTTCTCTTTAGATGCCAACAACCTGCTTTATTAATTTACACTCCAGTAACTGGGCTGTCCTTTAAAATACCATGTAGGGCACCTGCCCTGTTTGAAGACTTGCTCTAGGAACAAAACTGAAGTCTCCCCCAATGAAACGGCAACATAAGTGATATTCATGCCTGCCATAAAGGAGTGAGAATGCGTGAAGGGTCTGTTCCCCACAATGGTGCCCAGTGCATTGCAAACCCATCAGTTCTTCTCATGGGGGCTGCGTGGAAAAAGGTGTTTAGTTTCCCACACAAGCAAGCACCAGACAGTGGTATGGGTTGTGGAACATCATTTCTCTGAGTGCAAGTAAGAGTCCAAGTGGTCCAGAGCTCTTCAGCCATCATGTTCACAACCCTTAACTTCCTCGGGACTACTCATCCCTGACAGCATCAGGCCCTGTGTAAATCTCATTGCGTTACAAAAACTGTTTATTTCTACACAGTACAAACTCACATCTGCTTTCCCGATGATTTTGGTTCAAACCTTCTATGTTTTTTAGCACACAAAAGGGTAAGTGGTCTCGTCCAAGGGAAGAAGGAAACAGATCATCCAGTGTGTTACTCAGTGTGCTCTAGCATTTACTTTCTCCCTTTCATCAGTGCTTGCAGCAAGTATCAGAGGAGGCTACTGTTCTGCCAGCAGCACAATCATTTGGGGCATTGAGGGAAACATGAGATGAACTACACCAAAGCTCAGGATCCTCACTTTGCCACCTTGCCCTACCCCAGGGACTCCAGTGACTTATTGGATAACTTAAGTGAGAAGGGTGCTCACGATTTGATCCTCACCGACTACTTCCCCAGTCCAGCTTAGAGGAGGGCAGATGCATGAAGTGGCTCAGCTAAGCCATTATCCTCATTTTTATCTTAACCCACAGCGAGTGTCAGGTAGTTCAGGCCGGTCCTCTTCTATGGAACAGGTTTACCCCAGCAGAAATGCCAGCATCTCTGTGGGGAGAGGCTACCGTTTTGATTGAACAGCATTTTGGCTTCATCCCGCTTTCCCTTTGCCGTATGGGGGGAGCTGAAAGAGGCCCAGTGATGGCCCAGGTCCCCACAGCTTCTGTCGGGCAGAGTATGAGAGGCTCTGCCCCTGAAACTAGCATGCAGATTGGTTATAACCACCTGGGTTACTCACAGTAGGAGCCTCCACTCAGCCACATCTGTACTTGGAAATGAAACAGTTTTGGGGAATATTTCTGGGCACTGGACTCAGTCATCTGTTCTGGGTTTGGGGGTGGCCCAGCTAACATTGCTCTGAGCAATATCAGTGCATCACTAGGGAGTTAACCTGGGGCAAGGACCATTCCCATAGACAGTTTGCAGCCGCCTTGCCTTGGAGGTTAACAGAGCAGAGCAGTAAGGACACAGGTTGTTCCACACCGCTTGACCTCAGTGCCAGGGAATAGTCTCGACTGTGTCAAATTTTCTCCTATAGACTTGGTCAGTAAGGGCATCAGAAGGAGGTGCTATGTCACTATAAAGCAGATCTGCAGTGAGTCAGACAGGACGATTCACAGATGGGAACAGATCTTGCAATTCAAATGAAAATGCTGTTCTTTAAAATGATGTGGTGCGACATGTTTCACAGCCTCCTCTGAATTAGCTAAAACTAGATGTGGCAAAGGAATACAATGCCTACGTTCACATGCCTCGGTGCCAAGAGGCATTGCTCTGCCCCGTGCAAGTGCTTTATTCATCCTTGTTAGTGGCAGTGGGATGAGTAGACTACTTGACAATAGCCTCTGTACTTATCTGACCTATTTCTCAAGAGACGTTTTAATAAGGCTTTTCCAGTCATTTCACCCTGTCATTTCATGTGGGCACAATTTTTCATGATGTTTCAAGAAGCATCGACACAGAAGCACCAGCACCTCCAGGAAAGGTGTAATGTAGGCATTTGGCTGGATATGCCAGTTGAGGCAGGCTGGTCCATGACATGTTTTTCATAAGAGGGACAAGAAAGCCTGCTGAAGAGTCCCTTCTGCTGCCCCAGGTAGTGATCATTGCACACCCCTGCATTGTGTAATGTGGTGGCCTAGCTGCCCAGAAAGCTCCCTCTTCTCCCTAGTTTTGGCTGGGGTGCATGCGGTCCCTTTGATACGCCAGTACCAATTTTTCCAAGTCTTTAAAGAACTTTTCAGCCCAGGTCACTGGCGCTCCACGTAAGTTTGGAGAGATACAGACATGGTCTAACAAATGAGTCCTCTGTAAATTGTGCAAAACTAGGCTGAAATAGTAGCTACATGTGTTTAAAGTGGAGGGAAGATCGGCTCATCTGTCTCACTCACAGGCACACACACTGTCCATGAGCAGGTCAGCAGTGACTGCCAAAGCTCTGGTAGGAACAGACGATTGCGATGCCACTTAAGGCCAAGGCTGAGTTAGTATCATCATGAGCAATGGGCACTGAAGTGTGGTAACTTCAAATACCCTCACATGCCATTGAAAAAGCCACCACTGGTTTCTGTATTAAGACCAGATTGTTTTCCAGATCCTCAAATGACGTAAAAAAATTGTTCAGCTGAGGAGCTGGTCCCAAGACTTCAGGATATCATCTGGTGGTGGATTCAATGCTGAGCTTGTCCCATTGGCCTCAGCCTGGAGTGGAGAAGGCACGGGGCTACGAGTGCCACCCCCGGGATCAAAGTTTCATCCTGTCTTAAGTAAATTCAACAAAGGTAGAGGCCATTTGCAGTCCTGTAAAGATATGCCTGATGCATTTGAAATGTGAGCTTGTGAAAGAGTCTTGCAACCAAAACTTGAATCCAATATCATTTCTTCAGAACACTTGTATCTGAACAGAGCTAGTGTCTTTTTTCTCTTTCTTTGCAATGGCTAAGTGCACTACCCTTATAGTCTATTTTTCATCATTGACCGGGCACTCTTCACAGTATTGGGTTGTAAATATAAAGAATTATTTGTTTTGTAAACTTTTGTAAAAAACCAAAATAATAATATTTTGCTAGGAATAATAAAAATCATATTATTTGGGTTATATTTATACATATGTGAAATAAATATACTATCAAAAAGTTGTATTTTATACAAAAAGTCAACGGTTACCTTTTGTATTCTATATGCAAAGTTTTGTATGATACGATTGTTTATTTTTATCTGCAGACTTCAACTTTGCATTTTGGGGGAGGGCAGAATGGGATCATGGTTAAATAGCTGGGTCTGACCCCAAGCTCACTGAAACCAATGGAGTCTTTCCATTGCCTTCACAGGGCTTTGAATCAAGCCTTTAAATCACCTTCAGATATGTTTGACATCTGAAGCTCTCTGGAAACCTCAACATGAAAACATTCCAGGTTTCAAATTTTTTCCCTGAAAAAGGCTTTTATTATTATTATTATTATTGTTATTATTATTGTAACTCTTGGGAGGCAGGTGGGACCTATGTAACTGTCATGTCCTTGTTGCATGTATGTCTGCTTTATATTTTCCCCATATTATAAACCAGTGTTTCTCTATACAGACTGAAAGGAAAAGTTGCTGTACAGAAATGTTTGTGTTTATGCATTTTTACATGTGGCTGTATATACCTCCTAGTACTATGCAGTGACACTTATTTGACTCCATTTATTTTTCACCTAAACATGAATAGTATGTTTTTCAGTAGCTATCAAAACTCTGCCAAGTAAATCAATCAAAATTATCCCAAGTGTCTCTTTTCTTAATATGAATTTTATAATGAATGTCTGTTTAGTCAACTGCTCGTTCATCTGAGTAAATTAAAATTACAGTGATATTTTAGGAGGGGGTGAGAAAAATATGCATCTGGCAGCTTCTGAGAGCTCAGTCTGCCTCTTTGCAAGAGAGCTGTGATGTTTTCCTACTGACTGAAGACATGGTTTCATTACCAGCAAGGGTTAACAAATAACGCATGGTATTTTAGCTCCCGGTGAATGGGTTGGTGTAGTCTTGCAGCACAGCAATTTGCTCTGGGATCCTGCTGA